CACTCTGTGCACAGGCCCTTGCACCCAGTCATCTCTAGGAAGGGGGGAGATTTCTGATAGGCAGCATCCCTGTCACTGTCCAACCTGAGCTCAGCAATAATTGCCAAGTCTGCTGTTCATCTGTCGTCAAGTCATAGGCATACTGTGCTAATAAAAGAGTGGTTAATAATCCACAAAATCATTGAAGTATCAGTGAAAACCAAGGGTTTAGGTCTCAATAATTCTATTTTTCTTTTTTTTACTTTTTTTTAAAAAAAATAAAGATAAAATAAGGTTTCCTTCAAGCATGGACTTGTTCATGTGGTTTTCCTGCTAATGAATTGGATGTATTGCCATTGCCTTTTTGTAAGATTTTTTTTTTTTTTTTTTACTTCCCAGGCTAACCTGTAGCCCTTGTATTTCCTGGGAATCTGTCATCTAAGTACAAATCCAGATTAATTCTGCTTAGCTTTTCAGCACCTAACTGGACATTGTGAGGATACTTCAAAATACTTATTTGCACTGTTAGTTTTGCTACTTTTTTGTTGCGCTCTTACCCTACTATTTGTATTCTTGCGAGCTGTTGACCCATATTGCTGGCATTGACAAAGTGATAGTGCCCTGAATTCAGTATTTGGCTTTTTTGTGTGTGAAGACACATAACAGTTGCTGTTGGTTTTATTTATAGACTGCCATTTATTTATTTAAATAGCCACCCATCTCACAAATGTTATTCTTATCTTGTTCTCTCCTGCAGACTGAAGGAGAAAGAGGAAAAGGTGAACAGTCTAGAAGTATTGTTGAAAGAAAAGGAGAGTGAGATTTCAGAGCAAGTAGAATGCCTTCAGGTATAGTTGATGAAACTCTAAAACTCAGCAGGTGATTTTAGGTATTTTGTCACATTAATTTTCCCCTGTCTCTTTCCTGCTAGGTTTCTGTTGCTACTTCTATGAAAGATCATGAGGCTATGTAAGTGAACAAAGTGGAACTTCCTCCACCATTCTTGAACATTTTGACTTGGTGTAAATTCTTGATGTAATTGGACTATGAATGAGTAAGAGAGACATTTCATTGTTCTTGGTATTAGCTGGAGCAGCTTTTTGTATTAGGTGATGTCCCCTTTCCTGAAGACCTACTCCTGTCTCAAGATAGTAAATCTTCAAATGAACAATGAGAGTTTCTGGCACAGTTGGTTGCCAGAGCAGTCAAAGAAACATGGCAACCACAATTTCTTGGGAAACTTGAGAAAAGTCCTGTCATACAAAATGCTTCCATATCATTCAGCCCTGACTTTACTTGCTGGCTAAAAGATTCTGTTTTAAGTATTTTGCTAAAGGGTTCTGTTCACCTTCTCATGGGTCACTTTTTAAATTGTGTTCACAGATTGAGAGAGAAACAAGAAGAAATGCAAAAAATGCTGACATTATTAGATGAGAGGGGAAAAGAAGTTGCTCACCAAAGAAAAGAGTTGCAGGTGCCTGTAATAACTTTAAGAGGCATGGGAGGGGTGTTAGGAAGTGGGCAGAGAAGTTTAAGACATCATCCTCTCTTACAGGCTGTACAGGAAGAGAACAGGTTATTGAGAGCACAGATTCAGGAAATCAAGCGGGAAAATGGCAAACAGGTATTTCTCCAGATTACTAAATTTGTGGGGTAAAAAAGAGAGACATTAGGTGTATTGTATGCTCTCTGTCTTAGGAATCACTTTGAATAAAATCAGTCAGCTGACTGAAATTGCTACTGGCCAAGTCTGGTGTTTGGCTAAATGAGGAGGAAGGGTTTTCCTGTCCACCTATTGGAACAACGAGTCTTTCTTTCTAGGCTCTCATTTGGCCCCTCTTACAGCCATGCATTTTAGTGCTGATAGGACTCCTTTGTTGGACCTGACTTCTTCCATCCTTTCTTAATTCCACTGCAGCATCTGTATATGTGACATATGTGTTTGTGTGTAAATTTTAATCTGACCAGGAGCATGCAAGATGGCAGAAGCTTAAGACACCTATTTCACTCCTTCAAAAACCCCAGTATCCCCCCCAAATCAGGTTGGTTTTGCCCATTGTTGGATGGATTTAAAGGGGCAAAATAAGTGTCTTGAGCCTGGCAAAGGCTTGAGGTATTTAAAAACCCATTTTGGCTCTTTGATTTCCCCAAGTTCCCCCCCCCCCCCAAAGAATTAAACAACTAAAAAAGGTTCCTCATTCTGCCAGCACCAAAATGTTATTGGCCCAGTGGTGCTCCAGAACACCATAAAAATTAAAATTAAATTCCTTGTCAGAAGAAAATTAGCTGCAGGAAAGTTGAAAGAACACCTCTGTCTTCTGATACTGGGTAGCATTAGCCTGAAAGCCAAATAAATGTCTAAAGCTATATATTGCTATAGGGGTTGCTCCACTTGTTTTTCTGCAATTTATGGATTGGCTTCATGGCTCCTGAGGTGGCATATAGCTGCCTATTAAATAGTGCTAAAGCTGGGGAACTTTCCACTGCATTTTGGTTAAGTGATTTATGTTCCTCTGTTTCAGGAATCTTTGGCTCTCAGGAACGAGCAACTTTTACAGCTGTAAGTTATTGGTAACTTATTTGGGCATGTCTTTTACATGAGTCAGAACCAAGATATTCTTCTGCTAGATGCTGTTTCATCCCTGTTTCCTTTCATTAGTTACTCTTCCCTCAGCAATACAGCTGCACTGAATATCCATAACTTAAATTCACTGGTATATCCGGAAAGCTTTATAAGCCCCAGCAGAGTTTGTATTAAGATGTATAAAGCTGATAATATGGATCAAGACAGTGGCCTTGAACACCATTGCTTGGTAAAACAGTATACAAGTTGTATAAACATTACTATAAATAATAATTGTGTTTGTGTTCTCTTAGGCATAGTCTACTGCATTGAAATTACACACTATTTAAAGTGCTTCAAAGAAACACATCAAGATTACTTTTGGCTGTCTAGAAATACAGTTCAAAGATAGTATTCCATCTGTGCTGAAGGCACTATACTTGCTGCCAATTTGAATGAGGAAAAATAACCTTGTTGGCTTTTAAAAAGGCTTCAAAACACCCCTTTTTAAAAAAAGTTGGTTATTTGACATTCAGTTGCAATACTTTTAGTTTTAACTCTGGTTTTCTATTTATTGTAAACTGTTAAGAGACGTTGGTTTCTAGTGGTACAAAAAGTTTGTTATTTTATTTATTTATGGCACAGATGTAGCAATAGCTTGCATAGTTCATAGCTGGGAAATGTATTCTGCTTCAAAGAGTTGTTAAAGTGAGGTGATGTTGTGATGGGTCATGATAAACTCAGCTGGTTTTGCTGAGATGCTATTTAGCTGTTGCTAATCAAATTGCACAAATGTGTTAAATGTCATGTATTATAAGTTTATCCCATGCTTCCTACAAGGAGCTCAGGAGAATGTTGGTGGGCTCTCTTCCTGCCAGTTTTATCCTCACAGTCCTGTGAGATAAAACAGGTTGAGGGGTAGTAATTTGTTGAAAATTACCCAGAGAATTTAGAAACAGGTAACTAGAGATTTGAATTTGAGTCTCCCTTGACCTTAATCCAGCTTGTGGATCAGTGTAGTATACAAGTAAAACCAATTCTGCATGCAAAGCATTACATTTACTAGCACAGAAGTTCAGCATTTTTACTTAAAGGAGACAAATCCAGCCTCTAAAATCTAAATCAGGAGAGAATTTACCACTCAGGGCACAATTGCCATTAATTGTGGGGTTGTTTTAATTTTAGATTGGGCTTCTAGACACAAAATGATTCATTAGAAAAAGGCAGGCATAAAAGCAGATTTATTCATTATTCATTTATTAATTAAATTTGCATAGCTGCCCATCTCACGGAAAGTTACTCTGGGTGGCTTACAAAAGCAGATAGGGAAAGATAGAATATATTTGAGATTTTCAGCCTCCTCATTAAACAGGGCAATTTGAAAAACTCCCAAGGTACTGTGAGAATAAGATGCACTTATGGGGTATATGGTATGTTGCCTTCTACACTTAATCGTAGTTCATGGAATAGTAACCTTATGACCTCTCCCAACGGGGTACAGCTTAGAAGGGAGAGTCAGTTAGTAAGGAGAAGAAAAATGCTTTACACTATCCCTGTCTTCATTTACCTACAGGTAGTCCTTGCTTAACAACCATTTGTTTAGTGACCAAAGTTATGATGGCACTAAAAGCTATTTATGACTGGTCCTTGCATTTATGACCATCAGCGTTCGTGATCCAGGTGCTGGCAACCAGTTTGGACTTAGGATGGTTGCAGCATCCTGTGGTCACGTGATCGCCATTTGTGACCTTCCCAGCTGGCTTCTGGCAAGCAAAAACAATGGGGAACTGTGTGATTTGCTTAACGACCATGTGATTCACTTAACAACTGCAGTGATTCATTTAACAACTGACACAAAAATGTTGTAAAACCAGGTGCAGTCATGTGATGCCTCGCTTAATGACCACCCCGCTTAATGATTTTTCTGGTCCCTATTGTGGTCGTTAAGTGAGGACTACCTGTATTCCAAATTTTGCATCTGTTCGTAGTACTTCCTTTTTAAGGAAAACTTTTAAAACTCCATATTAGATAGAATTGGTGTTGGAGGGCAGAGAAATGTTACAGCAAATGCTTTGGTATAGTGAAATGGCAGGCAGAGAAAAAGTTAAGAATGATTGCTGCCTTCTTGCTTCCGAATGAATGCACCAGAAATGGGATTTTTCCTCTTCCTACCTTTACAAGAGCAGATTTTCTAGTTCTCATGGTCTGAAGTGGAATCCTGAATATATGCTGACAATTGCAGGGCGGTTGTCTGTTTTTTCTGTTGAAGAAAACAAACAGGAGTGTGCTTCACGTCCCTGTCTTACTCCCCTCTACATGGCTGTAACGTTGTCTTTTCTTGTATGGATTTAGCATTACTGGGAAAGAACAAGAAGTCACCAGCCTCCAAAACGAGTTGGGCTCCTTGAAACATGCAGTGGAGCAACAGAGGCAGAAGAATAATGTAAGTAACTCCTTCCAAAATACCTTTTGCACAGACAGACTTTGCAGGAAGCACTCTTTTGGCACTGAATGTTCCAGCCCTAGAGGATTTCTTTTATGTTTTATATAACATTTTTGTCAGTTGTTTTAACTGACTACTTTCATCATTGCATTTCTCTGTAAAATACTTCAAGAGTATTTTAATGAGAAGTGAAACACAAATGTTTTAAATACATACATATATTCCAGGCTGGGAGAGCTTCTGTAGTCCCTTTCCTCCAGCAGTGAGAGCAGTGTGGCTTTTCAGGGGATCATCAGAGGAAGATTTTGCTCTCCCTTTTGTATGATGAAAAGTTTCTGGGAGCATCTTAGGGATCCTACTGCTTGGTAAACAAATTTCAGAAGAAGAAAATTATGTATTTTCTACTTGGTTAAGTGAATTTCTTGAAAGTTGACAGGAAAATGCTTGTGGAAAGCATTACCAGATTAAGAAAAAGTTGCCTGTCCAAAAGAAGCAAACCTTTTGTCATCCATTGCATTACTTAATACATATATAGTTTACCTGCTCAGAGATCTTTGGACTTGCCTTACCTTTTCTCTTAAATCTTTGTGCTGTTGTTCAACAAAACTGGAAGCATGCAGGGCAGTGAAATCGGCTGTTCTGTTGGGGGCTGCAAAGGTGCTCTGAAACTTTCCCTTTGGAACTTCCTAAATGTTTCTCCTGTCCCTGAAATATATTTCATCTCCTTCCAACAGTGCACCATAACAGGAAGAGGCAATGGATATACAGACTGCACAGTTGTTGGTTAGGGATAACTGAATTTGCAAATTCAAACAAATTAGGATCTATTCCTTCTTCACTCTTAGAAAGCTATTTTAGGCTTTCATTCTATGGAGCCCTTATAAAAATATCCCACATCCATAGTGAGGCAAAAGCTTTGTTAGGACAAAATGAAGTGGAAAAAACAATGTGCAAGTTTTGAATTCTCCAGAATTCTTCATCAGGCCCAGTGTTAGGAAAAACTGGAGTGGCGAAGAGGCAGATCAACAAAAGCCACAGATATAGCCATGAAATTGTAAGATAGGAAGTGAGATGGATTGCACTGGTCTGCCTGTCAGTGATTGCTCCCCCAACACAAAGGCTCTTACTCCCCAATCTGATGCCTGCCAGGGGTGAAGCACATAGACTATTGGCCTGACAAAAAGTAGTATTAAATAAACTCCATATCAATTGTGCCAGAGACAGACAATAGGCAGACTAGATAAAAAATGAATTAAGTTAAACTGTTTGCCCTGCGGTTGGAGGGAACTGAAGTCTCAAAATATAAAGTCCTTCAGACATGAATCTTCTGGAGGTAGATTTTACCTTTCTGGCTAAATGCCTTGATTTTTGCATATAGAAATAAGATCACCCAATCTGGGGTGGACAGTTTGCAAGATAAGAGGTACAGCTTAACTTTTCAGTAGTTAGAATTTGTTAGGAAGGTTTGGAACACATGCCAACTGCTTAAAAATGAGAAGCAGCACCCTGTTTTCAAAGCAGCCTCGCCTCTGACTTCTGTTGACATCACTGTTCTTTGGGCCACTTAGTCTCCTCTCAAGCTCACATCTCAGCACAGGAAGGATAGTACCTACCTAGCCTTACAAGCTGATAAAATGTATGTGAACAGGTTTGAAGACACCACAGAATTAGATAAATGCAGAATGTACTTTGGTTCCCTTCTCAGCCTTTAAGCCCAAGAACATAAAGAATGAAAGGTTAAACATAATTATTAAAATGTGAATGGAAAAACAACCACATCCAGAGAATGTCCCCTTCTTTAAATTAGCTTTTAAACATACTATAGGCAGAAAAATGTATACACAGATTGCTAGCATCAAAGGCTATGCATTTTGGTAGCTACCCTGCTAGCATGCTTAACCTTAGATGTAGAAGATTTGTCAAGTCACCTGTTGAAGTCAGCATTGAGACACAAAATGTGTAATGGATCTTTTGACAACTACTAATGGAGATGGAGATTATGACAGAAATGATCTAGAAAATGTCACTGGCAGTATTTTATTCCTCTGAGTCAAAGTCATGTTGGTGAATTTGCAACACTCTGGAGAGTAAGGATACCTCCCCTTCAAATCATTACCCAGTTGTCAACTTGGGAAATCTGTTGGGGAAAATGAATACCTTTTAATATGATGATCAAGGAAAAGAAAGATTCTGATTTGAATTTCTCCATTTATTAAGGTGCTCTGCTTTGTATTTTATTACAGTTCTGATTATTTTATCAAAATGTGGTTGGCCATCTTAAACACATTATGTAATCCAATATTCATATCATTGGTTCATCTGGCTCAGCACTTTTTACTCTTGCTGGATCTCAATTATAGTGTCCTAATATCTCAAGAAAGAAGACTAGGTGTTCCTTTCTCCTCTTGCAACTCCCATCAGCCCTAGCCAGCTTATCCAGAAGTCAGGTATGAGATGATGGTAGTTGGAGTGCAGCAATATCTACACTGCCATAGCTTTCATCTCCTGTGTTATCCTTTTAGATCCTTCTGTACCAGGGAGTGGACCTGAAATTTTCAACACTTAAGATATTTGCTTTGTCCCTAAGATGTACTACCTCCCTAAGGCGCTTAAGGTCAAAGCTGATGCTTTGGATGTTGAAAGCTCCTCTTTGAGAAACCTCCCTACCGTTCCTTCAAATGGCACTGAATTTTCAGTCCTGTTCTATTTGGGTTAATTTCTAGAGTATGCAGCCAACTTAGTGGGTACCTGATGTAGTGTGTATGCGTCTGTCAGTATGCATGTATGTATGTTGATAACTTTTGAATATTTCCCCATTTTCTTCTTCATAAATGCAGTCGAAGTATGGGGGGCTCCTAGCCATTGTGGCCCTAAAATCAGAAATAGATGCTTTTTTTTTTTTTGCTTTGAATTTTTTGCCATATCAATGCTCTCTCTTTTTTAACATCACACTTGTCTTTTGCTAGTGTGCCTCATCTTAACTGAGCACCGACCCATTTTGCAGTAACCTGCACTCAAATGCAAATGCTCGCTCTTTGAGGTGAAAGCAGAAACGGTTTTATTTTGGCTGAACTGAAACCATTCTTTCTAAAAATGATTAGGACCTTCGAAAGAAAAACTGGAAAGCAATGGAAGCATTGGCCTCAACTGAAAAATTGCTGCAGGACAGAGTGAACAAGACTGCCAAGGTTGTAATGCTAATTGCTAGAAACAATGCATTAGCTAGAAGTGATTCTGCAGCCGCCTTCTAGAATCAAATGGAAGCATTTAGCTTTTACTGCAATTTTTAAAAAAACTCTTCTAATTTTTCCTTCCTTCTCCTTCTCCTTCTCCTTCTCCTTCTCCTTCTCCTTCTCCTTCTCCTTCTCCTTCTCCTTCTCCTTCTCCTTCTCCTTCTCCTCCTCCTTCTCCTTCCTTTCTCTCTCTCTCTCTCTTTTCACCTTTGCTTGTGCCTGTCATCTTATACCCTTGTATTTCTTTTTTATTTAATCCTTTAATTTGTGAGCATGCTGCTTATTTTGGTTTTGCTTGGAACAGTTGCTAGAGCTGTAGGGCTGTGATGTTTAGTCTGCAGAGTTGGAATCATCTGCCAGCTTCTTGATCATTGAAATTTTCTCTTGTTTTGTGCCCAAAGGAACTCTGTCATAAAAGAACTGCCTGTAAGTTGTTTTTTTTTAAAGACAACTCTTTATATCTATCATATTACAGGTTTGAAACTAAACTCAGGCCAGTGTCCCAGTCATCTGGACAAAATTTAATATCCACAAATCTTGCTGGGAATATTACAAGCATAGGCTCCCACTGATATTTCGAAGTGCTTAATTAGGACCAGATTATATCCACATTCTAAACTTATCACAGGGACTCCTAATTCATTTTAATTGGCCTACTTTTAATATGACCGGATTCAGATTTGCCACATCCTGATTTTTGCTAGAATTTTACAGCCCAGATTTAAGATTTGTAATAATTGAAACAAATTTAATGTTTTACTAATGTATTAGAATTTGGTCATTTTAAAATGTATTTTAAAACTAAGATAACTGAAAATAAGTCTGGCTCAACCCATTGCAGCTAAATGTGCTGAACTATAATCCCCACGATATACAACAGAATGTTCCACAGTTTTTGGTGAGGGTGATTGGGATTATATTGCACCATCTGGTGGGTGCTAGGTTGAGGAAAGCTGCTATAAAGAAGCAGCTATGAGTTTAAACTATTTCTGTTTTGTATACTTCTGTTAGCAAGCCTCCCATTATGCTTTCAGCCAAACTAGCAGTTCATTTCTGTTTATCAGTTCTTATTTTTAAATACACTGATTTATATTTTTGAAGAAACTTAATATAATCAGTTTCCAGAGGGGTAATCATGCTGGTTCTTTTGCATCAAAAATGATAATCTTGGGGCACAAACTGTAATGTACAGTATGATGAAGTGGACTGTCTGATCCACAAAAGCTTACATAATAATAAATTTGTTAGTATTTAAGGAAGTGCAAGATTTGTTATCTTTAATCTAGTGATATAATCCATAAGCCCAAGTTGTTTTGAAGCAGCACTCACCCAACTGAAGTATAAACTGCCAGGAAGAACTCCTAAAGTGGTTTCAAGAAAAGGTTTGGTGGGCATTTGTTGCAATACTTACGGAGTTTGCTGGAGTCAGGATAACAGGATAAGGCTGGTAGGTTCTGCAGCTTTTGTGAATGGTGGTAAAATACAACTGCAATGACTCGCAGAGAGCTTGAACTTCTGGCAAATCTGTGGAGCAGATGAAGTTCCTCCTTTGTGGAATCTGAATATTTGCATCCACCTAGGGGAAACAAAAGCTTTCAAGTATTGAGTCTGTCAGAACATTGCTTTGATCTATGGACTGTGCTTTAAGACCAGCAGTGAGGAGGGACTAGAGCCTCCCCCCGCCCCCCCTTGCCTTCCTATCTGCTCTGTTACCTGCTTCTTGATCTCTGAAAGCCTTGAGCATTCTTCTTTTGGCCAGATTGTTTATACAGGAGGAAAAAAAAAATGCTGCCCAGCTCTGTCAACTTCTGTCCACTTTACATAGTATACTAGGAAAACAAAAGTGGAAGAGAGAAGATGCCTCTGGAAGCATGTGTTGAAAGACAGTGAACATATTTTGCCTTGATACCTAAGAGATAAGTTTGGCTAACATTTACAGGCAGTGTACTGTATTGCCAGATCTCAACTCCACCATCACATTCATTTTGCATCCTGGGGTAGCAAAACAATAAAGACACAACTAACACTTCCCTAACAGAGTTTCAGACTTTGATTGGTTAAGTGACCATAAACTAGAAGCCCAGGGTCAGAATACTTCCTTCTTCGTTTTAAGTAAGTTTAGCTGCCTCTGCTTACGGGAGGAAGCAAACAGGAACTACTGGGCAGCCCATGCTACTGTTCCAATAGAAATTATTTAGAAGGTCAGCTGAGGGCCAAACAGTGAGAGATCAAGTGGTGTGCATGTACGTGTGAGCCATCTGTAACTGTTCAAGTGCTTTAGCATAATAAGCAAATGAAGTTGGAAGGCTCTGGTCACTTTTGAAAGTGATAATTGAGCTTTCTAATGACATTTGTAGTTCCGATACAGTACTGCATGGAATGTTCATAGAGGGGATAAAGTGGGCAAGGGAGAGGCACAAAAAATAAATGTCATCTGATAGCCAGCTTCCTACCATACCATTCTTCTAGCCATAGCGAAGAATATTTTCTGACAATGGCATAATTGCTGTGGAAGTAACCTGGGATCTTTGCAGTTAGTTCAAGAATTGCTCGAGCCTCTCAAAATGCAGCCCGTATTGCTTTCTTAACTTAATTCAGACATATGTGAGGACTCAGTCCTGATTTAAAGGATCAGCAAACATGCAAACAAGTGGGAAAAATAGAAATGCCGTTGTATCCAAAAATATGCAATGTGAAATAATATGGTAAAGAAGCTCATTTGGGGGGGGGGCATAGAACAACTTAATAATTTTCAGCTGTGATAAAAAAATTATTCAAACAAGTTTGGGTAATAAATTTCTTCCTGGCACCTATTTAAGGCTCCCCTCTTCCATCTTCTTAAAAATAAACTTTACATTAGGCTCCCCAAATGTAAGTTGATGTGATTATTATAGTTTTCATCTGACTTGAACCTTATTCTGCACACATTGCCCTTATAAAAGTCTAAGAAAAGGGGAGAAGTGGTGAGTCTCAAAGGCCTTTGCTCTTGAAAACTCTTTCAAACTGTAAAATGACTTTTAGTTTAAAAGCTGAAGCATTCCATGTTCCAAATGCAAGGGCAGCAGATGAAATCATTTTTGCCGCTTAGAACCAGTAGTATTAAACTAACTGTTAAACTAAGGAGAAATATTTAGGCCAAGAAATGGAGATTGATGTGACATCATGGTGGAAGATTTGCATTTATTTTGTCTTTTTTCCTTTCACTTTGTCAATCCAGGAGAGTCAGCAACATGCAGAGGCCGTTGAAGCAGAGATGAGAAATGTATTGCAGAAGCTATTCCCTATAGTCTCTCTTCCTTCCACCTTGGTAAGATTAACATTCTGTTAAGTTTATCCAGTGGGCCGCTGTCTTTAAAGCAGGACTGTGTGATTTCACAGACACTGTTGAAGAATGAAAAATTGGGTTTGCTAATAGGTCCTCTAGGACTCTAGTTAATCAATCAGCTTTGGCCTGTTCACTTCTAAACCCAGCAAAATTGTGTCTTCAAAGACTGCTAGATTCTAAGTTGGCATTCTGTACATAACATTCAAGACTCCAATTAACTGGCAGTTGCTAGTTAATCTGTCTTCTCTAGATAGCTGCGCTACTTGTTTATTTCCAAATTCTCCTTGATTTAATGCCTCTTTTGTACTCAGAGCCACACTGAGTGGATGCGTGGATTTGAAAAAGCAATAAGAGAACATACAAAAGAGACTTCTCAATCAGATGACATTAAGGTTAGTACACGCTGATATGTATTTAGTTCAACTAAGTGTTTTTTAATAACAGTTTTTCTTCATCCTGGGGAGCAGGGAGAAAACTGATGTCCTGTGCCTGAGAATTGTCTTGTGATATCTTGGTATTTAACTGATGATAGGTAACTCTGAGATTAGTCTAACAATCTGTCCTACAAGGGTTTCCCCCAAAGTTCTTTAATCACAGAATTGGTTGTCATTTTCAGAATCTTGAGTTTTCAGACTTGACTGTTGACTGAACAGAACTGTGAAAAGCAGACAGACCCAAGAGAGGAATTCGCCTTTTCTTTAGCCAAGATCTCCATTTTTACATTTGTTGTTGTTGCTGCAGTGCATATAAAACTTTGCCACTGAAATTTAGCAATATAGCCACCACATTCTGTTGACCCCATCTAAGAACTTCAAAAATATGACAGAAGGCATGGGTTGTCACACCCTTATCCAGCACCCTTATGCAGCTGCAGACATGGCTCTTCACCCAGACCTTTGGCGAGGATGATTGACAACCCTTTTCTTCTTTGTCTTTGTTCCCACCTGGGTTTGTTTTCTCTGCCAACTTTGTTTCTTTTGTTTTGTGTTCTTCAAGGTTGTTGCTGTTCCTCAAAGACACTGTAATTTCACTAGTAGGTGTGAGTTGCTTGAAGAAATAACAGTTTGTTGTCACTCCCTAAACATAAGTGGTTAGGTATACAGAATCTATAGCTAATGGAACTTCCAAAACGCAGCCGTTCAGCATTTCACTGGAACAAATAAAGTTCTCTGCCTTGCATTCTGCACATTATATTCATGGAATCTTTTTTATCATTATAGATCATGGAACAGAAGTTAAAAGAAGCAGATGAGCTACACGTAATGTTGCAGCAAGAATGTGAGAAGTACAAAGTAGTCCTTGCAGAGACGGTAGGAAGGAACCTTATAAAATCTGGCTGTATCCAGTAAAATTTCTTCTGCCTCCATTTCTTGTGGGCATCAAGATAACTGAAATTTTGTGTTACTAGGAGGGAATCTTACAAAGGCTACAGCGGAGTGTAGAAGAAGAAGAGAGCAAATGGAAAATAAAAATTGAAGAATCACAGAAGGAACTACAACAGGTATTTTCAAAGATCAGGTATTCATGCTGCAAATACTTGAGAGCTAGTTAGAGCATATACTCAGACTTCAGCTGTTAACTGAAGATGTCCTTACACTATTTAATATTTTATCAGTCTAGAAAAAATACAGCTTGCCTCCCAGTATAATAGTTCTTAATGCAGGGGATAAAATGTAAAAGATACAAATGAAAGTTATCTGAAGCAGTCACTAGACACACACAGGTAAATTCAAACTGATACATAAAACAGAGAAGATTATCTGAATAAATGAGACAATTGGTTATTTCATTTATGGAGCTTCACAACTAGTTATGCCTACATTAATTTATACAGATTTCTGTGTAGTTGCTACTAACTAGCTTAAAAGAAGGTAGACTGTTCTTGCCCTAAGAGTTCCATACATAGACTAATGTAGGAAAAGAATGTTTAATCTCTCCTATCTATCTGTCTGTCTGTCAGTCAGTCAGTCAATCAATCAATCAATCAATCAATCAGTCACATTTATATGGCTGCCCATCTCGCAAAAAGCAACTCTGGGTGATGTCCCACAATCAGTAACACAACAGATACGTGCAAATATAAATACATAAAAAACAGTCATTATAAAAATATAAAAAGTCATAATTAAGAATAAAAATATCAAAAATTTAAAATATACAAACCACATGGAGAGAGTAAAAATATTAACAGAATGGAGCCATCTAAGGAGGTTTCTGGTTCCCTGGGAGCCCAGGCCTGGTGACATAACCAGGTCTTGAGGGACTTCTGGAACAATAGCAGAGATGGAGCTAACCTAACTTCATGGGGAAGAATGTTCCATAAGGCGGGCACTACAGCAGAGAAGGACCACCTCCTGCGACCTACCAAATGCCAGTCCCTGGTGGATGGTACCCACAACATGCCTTCTCTGCGATCTAATGGACAGAGTTCTCTTATCACCATAAAATAGGTCCGAACCTGGGCACATACCCACACTCAGTCAGATTCACTCTTTCCTCCTCTGCCTATGTTCTAGACATCACACATTCTGCTTTATCTTTCAGAGGCCCTCCAAAAATGAGAGGGGGCACCTGGGATTGCTGACAGAAGCCACTCAGGAGCAATTGCATGAAGGGCCTAGGTTACCTTCTGTTGCCAGCAGTGAACTATGCTCTCAACGAGCCTACCTATCAGATTGTCAGAAAAATAAATAAATGGATAAATTATAGTTTATTCCTCTAGGAATACGATACGTGTCTGCATGCATTGTTCCTTTTTTCTTCTGCCTCTCCTTTTGCAAACAACTTTGAAAATTTCCTGAATTTTTTTTCCATTGCGTGCATTAGGAAATTGATTCAAGTCCTCCCAGTAAGCTAGGATATCAAACGAGGACCTATTGAGCCACACTCTATAAGCCGTTGATTAAACAGCAACTGCTATTGAATGAAAAGTTAGCTATGAGTTTAGAATTATCATGAATAAATTCTTCAGTTTTACATTCAGTGAAGTGCCAAGAAAGTAATCTAAAAATATAGATTATTTGAATGAAGTTATAAACTTTAGTTAGCTTTCAAAAAGCAATAAAGTTGGATATGATTTTTATATGAACGTGTGTGATTTTTGACTCTGCCTGTATCTTTTGTAGCTTAAAAAGGAACGAGAGCATTTGGAACATGAATTGGAAAAAGCAGAAATGGAGCGATCGACATATGTTTCAGAAGTACGAGAGGTAATGAACCTAATTGAAATATTGCAGCCAGATTTGCTATCTCATGTGCACGCTCACTTAGAAACATGAATATTTAGTTGGCCCAACGATGAAAAACCTACTCATCCAAGGATTTGGGACATTTTTGTGCTTTCAAATCAGTTTATTGCTTGGAAATAAATGACATTAATGGCTGAATAGAGGGGAAGTTGGGAACATATGGCAATGCATCCTAAAGCCTCTGAAAACTTCATTTCAGCTTAAAGATCTGTTGACTGAATTGCAGAGAAAACTTGATGACTCATATTCTGAAGCAGTAAGGCAGAATGAAGAGTTAAATTTGGTAAGAGGCCTGTCCTCCACTGAATATATCTGTTCAAAAGTGGAGAAACTTTTCCAAATCCTGTCTGTCTGCTAACCATTCCAACTTAGCCTTTGTCCACTTCAGCCACTTTTATAGCCTTTCTCTGCCTCTTAATAACATGACTAGTGCTTAGTATACTTTTTCATCTATCTGCCTCCCCCTTGCCTAAAGGATTAATATTTCCATATTTTGTGAATTTGGAACATGATGTTCACAGAACACAGAGGAGTTGGGTTGAGGTGTTGGTATAGGATTGTTTTGAGGAAAGTCTTTGGTTTCCTTTGGACTCTACACTTCCTTTCCTGAAAGGAATTTTAGTTGTCGAAAAGAAAAACTGAACAATTCCCTCTTATATACAAAGATATTGGAATATGCAAATGACACCACAAGAGTTTTATCTGATTCTCAGCATTGGGCATTACCAGGGTTCATAGAAGAGCAATGAAGATGATCCCAGGACTGGAAATTAAGTCCGTGAAGACAGTTGAAAGAGCTGGATGTATTTAGCCTTGAGAAGAAAACACAGGGGTGACATGCAATACTCTTCAAACACCAATATTTATTTATTATTTATTCTCTGTAGTTTCAGAATATAATAATTGAAATAATGAAGTTACAGGGAGATGAATTTCAGTGGCAGGAAAACGTTCCTAACTGTGTCGGAGCAGTTTGATGTTGGAATGAAATACCCAAAGGGGTGGTAGCCATCCCTTTGTTGGACAAGTTCAAGCAAAAGAGGCATAGCAGCTGTCCGTAGGGGAGAGGTTCATATGGGCTACAGCACCAAACAGAGGGTTGGAACCAATGATTGAAAAATCTACTACCAGCTCTGTGATTCTATGAAATAATATGGTATATCTGCTTAAGGAAGGGGAGCTCTTTTATTTCTGTAAAAGCTGACTGAACATGGAGCCTGAGGCCCACAGGGCTTAATCAGTGGGGAACAGAGCATATCTGTTTGTCATTCATCCAAAGGGAGTGGACTCCCAACTAAGACTGGAGCGCCTTGTGGTCAAGGAAGCCATTTCCATTTGGTGAAGGAAAACTAAGCCTGGGCATAGCGAGATCAAAACAAACAACAAAAGATCTCTAACGTACCCCCCCTCCAGGGGTACAGTCCAACCATGGTCAAATTGACAAGTGAAAAAGTTAGTCTCTTTCTTTGCTAAACAACATGAATGTCATATTTGGAAGCAGTTGGGGAATGGTTGACACAAATTATATTATCTGTTTTTACTAGTGATTTGCTAAAAGATTGATTTATATAATTGTAAACCTAGAACTAAGAACAGAAGTTTAAGCCAATTCAGGAGAGTCTAGTATTTACATTTCAGTATCATTTTGAACGGGAAAGTGGCTGCACAAAAGATTTTTCCCCACTCTTTTTTCTGGAGATTATTTTCATATCTCTCTCTTTCCTCATGTAGGAATCTATATTGATTTAGAACTTGGAAAAACACAGAAAATGTCTGAATACTGTCTTGGGGAAGGATTCCTCATGTTTTTAAAAATTGATCTGGAGACAACAAAGCAATGTTAGAGCCATACAAGTACTTCTTCTGACCAGTTCATTTGCGGTATATAAAGAATTACTTATTTAGTGTTGACCAAGAATAATTGTCTTTGGTCAACTTTAAATCTGAAGCCAATAAAGTAAAGCATACTTGTAAAAATCTATGCAAATTCATTGGTAATGCTGGCAAGGCATTAAAAATAGTATCTGTTTAAGATTCTCTCTACTGATTTTAACCTCTTTCAGGCTTATCTTTTCTTCTTAACTCCTTTGCAGATGGAATTTCCTATCACCCAATGTACTTTGTAGTGATTAATCCACTATGTATATTGTGTATATGTTACTTTACCAGAAACTGCCCCATATTCCTTTTAAGCACTGTCAACTGACCCTGTCTTACCTCTTGCAGCTGAAAACCCAGTTGAATGAAACATTATCTAAACTCAAAATTGATCAGAGTGAAAGACACAAATTAGCTGCTGATTTGCCAAAGGTAAGGAATCCTGTGGTTGATGTTCTGTCTTCCTAGGAACATAATGGCCAACTTATTCTGGATGGCAGTACATTGCTTCCTAAAGCACTGTATCTACAGTCTGGGGGTATTGACTTATCATGTTAGTCACAAAAATACCCATTAAGGTTGCTGTGCCAATTCTAGCTCCTCCCAGAAAAATCATGGTGGTCCATTCATCAGTAACCTCCAGGTTAGATTATAGCAATGCATTTTATGTCATGCTGTCCTTATGAAGGTTATTTGGAAATATCAGTTCCAAAATGCTACTTAAATTATGAACAGGAGAACCTCTCTTAATACTCAGATGATCCAGACTCTGCAAAAGGTCCTTGGTGGTGGAGTGGTTCCCTTTGGTACATTTTTCCTCAGGGAAGTTTGCTTGACACCTCTCATCAATTATTGATTTATCCAGTTGCTGTAACCTTTTGATGTTCTTTTACTGTTTGCAGCCCTAGTTATTTTGGATTTGTTTTGCAGCCCTGGAACATTTATGTTCAGGGGCAGGAACTTTTCTAAGCAACAGAAATCCCTTCAAATCTGTAGATAAAAGCTTGTTTCTCATTGATTAGGCCCTGTATTTGTTTTTCTGGAACAATGGCTCCTGAGATTAGTTCCCACATAGGGCAAACCAGGGATGCTAGAGTGGAAACTGTAGCCACTGTTAGCTTCCAGGTTGAGTGAATCTGTGCCTTGTAGAACTGTTTGCAAATGTACTCGTTACGCTCACACTTCATTTTTTCAGATATTAACTTGAAATAGTAAATGCAATGTATAATGAGCTTTGCTTCTTCTTCCCCATTGCCATTCCTAGTAGTTGCTCATGATACATTGTGATCAGGGCCTTTTTAAGACTCCAAGAGACTTGGGGGTAGAATGTTTGTTTGAAATCCCACCTCCTGTACTCCTATTTCTCACTGTATCCTAAGTCAGCATAATTTTCTTCTCAACTCTTTTTTCCCCCCACTGAAATCAGTAGTTCAGTAATTGGGAATTTGGAGCAACATGCAATAGTGGAACATTCCTTGTTATAATTTCACTGATATGCTTGCAATCTAGAATGAAAAATAATGATCTATCTGATCATTTCAAATACTGAATTATATTCTGATGTGTCCTCCTTCATACGTGGGGCCAGGACTATTGTCCCCTTTACCCCTTCTTTTAAAAAGCTGATTGTGACTGAATGTTTTAAAACAAGTATTTTAATTTGATGCTTTTTTTTAAGGCCCAGGAATCACTGGTGATCCTAGAAAGGGAAATAGGAAAGGCTAGCATGGGCACTGAGGTGATACAGAACAGTGATGTCTGCTCACAAACGGTGAGTATTTTCCCAGATGTATAAATAAAATGCCATATGATGTGCAGATACAGAGCAGAGAACCTAGAGGCTGATTTATACCTGTGTGTCTTGCTCTGTATCATTTGGGGTTAAATATATAACAGAAATGCCACATCTCACTTTTGCAATAAGTAACAGGTTTTCATTTGCTTGGCAAAGTGTGCCCACTGCAGTCTGCATGTAAACCTGTGCTGCTTGGGTTGTAGAAAGCATTGGAGATTTGCTTTAGAAGTCTATAGGTAGTGTATATTTGTCTGCTTATTTATTTCAATTTAGGCGCCATCTGACTCCAAACCAACTGCAGCAGTAGTATGGTCTTCCAGCTTGTTTATGTTTGGTACATGTCTTCATGGGGCTGGCCAGTGGCTATAGACCAGTGTTTTTCAAACTTGGCAACTTTAAGATGTGGGGACTTCAACTCCCAGAATTCCCCAGCCACCATGCTGGGGAATTAACGTCTTAACATCTTAAAGTTGCCGTTTGAAAAACACTGCTACTGTATAAACTATCTTATCCTGCCACAAGATGGCAGGCTAATAATGTTCTGGCAAGCAAACACACTTTGGGAACCTTAGAGATAGTTTGCAAGTTTTTTGCTCTGATGTTTGTGTACACTATTATTGTCTAGTTCTTATTGTATCTCAGCTGTTCTGGTTTAGAACATCACTAAATGAGTGAAGCCTCATACAATTAAAAAACTGAAAACTTTCACATAAGAAGTAGCATGTCAGGAGAGATCTGAACTGATAATGATCAAGCTCTCCTCCATGACATTCAAATTTTCTGGATGGAGAATTTTTTCTATAAAGAACTTGGTCACACTGGGAGGGAGGAGATTAAAGACTTTCTGAAGTGAATATCCAAAATGTTTAAAGATCTGAGCAAAACTCCTCCCACTATTTGTCCTGGAGAAGAAGGAGCCTTTTGGCCACCACTTGAAACTTGTGTAGGAGAACAGCTGCTGAATGCAAATGAAGGTCCTTAGGAATGGGGAGAGCCTATCTAATGGGTGAAATAGATTGAGGCTTCTGGGTAGGTACCTAGCTCATATCCTAAAATTCATTGTTAATCTCCTTTGGCCTCCTCTGCCACACAGTTTCTAATACTTTCTACTTTCTTCCATCCCTTTCAGGCAGGGCCAGACAAAAATGTAGCTGTGAATCTAACTCAAGATATTGTCCATCTCAAGAAGTTGCTTGCATCAGTTGGCCAAATGCTCACAAAGGGAAAAGAACAGTATCAGCTATTAGGTAGGAAAGTTTAAGTTTGTTTTTCCTAGGGTGGACTTAAGCAGGAAGGCAACGGTAACTTTGGTGAACCTTTCAGTTGATCTCTAGGCAGCAGTAATAGAATCATAGAAGCTTGCAGCCTCACACTTTGGTTGAAATACCATTGTGGAATATTTCCCCATATAAAATAGCACATTAAGAAGAGTCATTTCAGACTAGCCTTCTCTAGCCTGTAGCCTACAGAAGTGTTGAAACTCTCATTCTCAAAATTCCCAGGTAACATTCCCATAGGTTTGCATTGACTGAAACCATTTGCAGCTGCTTTCATTACTCTTGTACAGAGCAAATGTAGTTCTTTCACAGCTGTGATTTTAATGGGTTTTTCTCATTCTTGGGTAACAAACATCTCATTTATAAATTCAAAGATAGGTATTTTAATTAGCGGCGGATCTGGAATTTGGATACTCAGTTATCTGTCCTTGTTACAAAAGTTAATTTTTATTAACTCTGGATATTCAGTAAATTCTGTATTTGGGCTTACTTAGTACCATTTTTTAGCTTTAAGGAAAATATACATGATGAATATTTTTTTCACCCTAAAATTTGAATTTTCATTTAAAAAAAACTACTGGTTCTTAGTATATGACAGAATCTGGATCCCCCAGATATGACATATTTTTCTGTTACTTTTAAAAGTAAAAATACTTTGCCATAGTGACTACCTTATCCTTAAGCTTATCTTTTGTTTTTTTGTTTTTTGTTTTTGTTTTTTGTTTTGTTTTGCTTCTCTTTTGCAGAATGAAATCATGGGGAGATCGTTTAATTTGGGGGTAGCAGAAGGCAATGTATTTTATATTTTGCCAAATTAAAGCCTTATTTATGTGTTCACCCTTTCTACTTCGTCAAACACTGAACAGAGTTTTGTCTTTTCTACTCTTTGTTAGACTACTGATTTAAACAAGATGATGAAGAAGACGACTCTGCAGACACCTCCAGAGTTTAGTTTTATAATAAATGAATTTAAATAAACGGTTTGGATAATTAGAGCTTTACATTCCTGGAGCTACAGTAAACGTGTAACCTTTTATCTTTACTATGCTCAGTGAAACTCGTTCACACACACACACATGCACCCTTGACATAGTGGTAGCAGCAGCAGCAACAATAACATTTTAATACTGACAGCCTATGCTGTTTTACTTAGATACAGTTTGGGAGTAGCAGCCTCTGACTTCTACCTGAAGTAAACACTCCTCCTCCCCACTCTCTCTTTTTTGGGTTGCTAATGTAATCAGTTTTTGTAATGGTGTCAGCAAATAAAGGGATGCTTGTTACTCAAACTGTACTGTTACGTTCTTGATTTGGAATTCCTTGAAGACGACATATAGAATCTTCTGTGCTGCACTGTAAAAGCACTGCAATGCGACTTACAGCATAAGAACCTGGTTGGGTCAGATTACAGGTTTTCCTGTTCCTGCGTCAGGTATCCCACAGGGAACAATCTCTGGGAAGCCCAGGAAAAAAGACATCGTAACTAGCAGCTACTGATTGTCTTATCCCCCGTGAATTAGTCTGCTTCCTTTTTAGACCCATCTGAATTGGGGGCCATCACCACACCTTGTTCTAATCAATTCTGTAGCTTAACAATGCAGTATGTAGAAAAATGTGTCATGTGAACCCCGCCATTATGACTTGTAAACCATAATTTATGGCTGAGCATATTATGCAAACCCAACCAATGATGATATTTAATAAATCATAGTTAAACCATAACGTAATGTGTGAACCCAGTCACTATTTGCCTTGAATTTCCCACTAGTCATAGTAGCTCTGCCTTCTGCTAATATATATGACAGGGGAAACATTTATTTTTACTTTCTTCATCCATGCTATGCCTAATGTTATATGCCGCTGTTATCCCCTCTTATTGTGTTTTGTGTTTGTGTTTACAAAGCCCCTCAAACTGCAGTGTTGCTTCCAATTCCCTAACCATTGTGATCGTCTTTCTCCAGCTCTACCTTACTATATCTCGGATGCAGGGTCCACAGCAGATCATAATATTCCAAGTGTGATGACAAGTTTCCAAATGTTTCACCTGGCATATATGTACCTCTTAAATGTATTATTTCTAGTGATGATAAAGGGGAATGAGTTCCATGCTGGGATGAAATCAAACATTTTTCTTAGTGATGATGTTTTAAATTTGCCCTTTCAAGTAAAAAGAAAAGAAAAATAATTGAGGTGCCAGTAAGAAATCTGAATTAGGAACAACATTATGTACCTGAGTACATTTGCTTAAGAAACACATTTCTGAAATGAAAAGCTAGAATGTTCCTCTCTCAAATATGCTTTCAGCTGATTAAAGAACTCCTGAAATATATACAATTCTTAGAACTGATAGGAAAGAACTTTTGTCATTGGTATAAAAGAATAATAACTAAACATTAGCAAATTTGGAACCGTAAATCCGGCAACCGTTTAATTGACACTTTGATTTATTCAGCTGTGACCTCACCCACCCACAGTGTATCAATCAGTATTTAAATCAGAGGGACTGAATTAGATGCTCTGAATTCAACTCTGTCCCCACAATCAACACATCCAATGGATGAAGGGTACTAGGAGTTGTAGTTCTGCAACTTCTAGAGTCCCCAGATTCCTTGATTCGGATTAAAATTCTGCCCTTATATTTATTAGTCAAAAGGTCAGAATCCCTGTCATTTGTTGAAAGCAGCTTTCCTGACCCTTCTCCTTGATCCCAAATAAACATTTTTAGCAGTGAAGCATAGCAGTGTGAGTTGGCACTTCTCAGAAATGCCACTGTATCCCAGCTGAACATGATGAAATCAGCAAATAAGGCTAGGAGTTAGCTGAGACAATGCACAATGGAGAAGATAACAAGCACTCTTGTCTGCACATATTTATTTAGCTGTTAAATAGTGCATAGAGATAAGCCTTTCCCTCATGTTGTTCTATAAAATGGAGATGCCATCTATGCCTTTTCATTTCCAATCTCGGTTGATCTTAAATAATGTATCTGAGTATTAATTAAGCCACTGCTGAACTGTTGGAAAACATTGGATTGGCTTCAAAAAGTTATGCTGGTGAAACTTGTCAAACTATGTGAGGTAAAGTCAAGGCTGTAAATGTTTTCTTGGCTATCCTCCTCACCATTCACTCATTTTTGTGCTTCATGTATTCAAGAAGAAAGGATTTCCGTGGGGGGAAAATGGGTTGAGTTCAGTTGCCCAAGTGCTTGAATTATCAGATATAGATGTATGGCAGGTTGCAGTAGTTCCTATAAGTGAGGCACTGCCTGGGCAGGGGGGAGTTTTCCAGCATTTTGTACATTTACACATCTGTGCAGAGTCATTTTGAAAGGGGCACTTTGCAAATCATTGGCAAAGCACACTTTCTCCAGGTATTAGAGTGGCCACATCCTCTAGAGCAGTGTTTCTCAAATTTGGTAACTTTAAGATGCGTGGACTTCAACTCCCAGAATTCTGAGAGTTGAAATCCACACATCTTAATGTTGCCAAGTTTGAGAAACACTGCTCTAGAAGGTTCAGCGCAGCTATTATGAAGGCTTTCCCTGGGTATCTGTATGTATGTGCACACACAGCTTCTTTGCTTATAGTGCTAGTAGAATCCTTGGCATGCACACACACTAGCAGGCAGCCTGAGAAGGCCTTTAAAGCAGCTATGTCAAATTTTTGAGAGGATGCTACTACTTTAATACTTCAAGGAGGGGATTTACTCACACCAGCATGCTTGGTGACATAGGCTTCTGTGAGTTCACAGGATTTCATGCAAGACACAGCATGAGCAACTCTTGCTCTGTTTTCCCTTTAAGACAATAGACAACATTTAGTTCTCACAGCTTTTCTTGGCAAGAGCTACATTTACAATTAGATAACTACATTCCATTCTCCACTTGGCTGATAAAACAACCCATGCAACTTGAGTTTTAAAATGCCTTGAAAAGCAGTTTTTTTAACTGCAGAGTATGTAACATAACTGTTCTCTACTTGTATGTGTATGCATGCATGTATAATGATGGCTTGACATATATGTACACAGCTGTATTTTGAAGATTCTTTTAAAGATAAGGGGCTGGAATTCTCTTACACCTGGCAACAGAAATTTTTGACTGCATATTCTGCAGTTGAAAAAAATCTTCCTTTCTCATCCCCAGAGCCTTTTGTGCTGGGTAATTTTGGCCCATGGTGGTTCCAACTGTTCATCTGGTCTTCAGATCTCCCATCCACAAATGCTTCAAGGATCTTGTTCCAGTCTCTCCTCCAATAAGCTACTCTTCTGCAGTGCAACTTCTGATCGCTATCCATCTGATCTTTATTAAAGCCAATTAGAAATCTTCAGCCAATGCTATCTAGGTCAAGCTTGGGTTGCCAACCATGGTACCACCTCCCTGTTCTTTCACTCCAGTAGACTTGTTTTTCAAAGCTCCTCTACATTTTGCCAGCCCTTCTTTGTTCTAAGGGAAAAATCTTCCTATGAGAAACTACTTTCGCATTCTACTTATCACTCAAAGTAAAAGTGTTTGGGTGTTTGTATGGATAATTGGACTGCTAGGAAGTCAAACCAGTCAGTCTTAAAGGAAATCAACCCTGATTGCTCATTGGAAGGATTGATAATGAAGGTCAAGCTCAGATACTTTGGTCACCTAATGCGAAGAGAGGACTCTTTGGAAAAGACCCTGATGCTGGGCAAGATTGAAGGCAAAAGGAGAAGGGGATGGCAGAGGATGAGATGGATAGATAGCATC